CATGGTGCATCAGAGATAGAAATAGCGGCTGCCCTTGGTCACCATCGTAAGTAATTCCGTCTGATAAGGGAAACGGGTAGCAGGAGATCGGGTATTAGTGAAACGATACGAGAGTGGACAGATTATCCACAAGTTGTCAGAAGGTTTGGAGCGTTAGGCTGAGCCTCTTGAAAGGCAAATTAATCGGTCGGAATTGTCAGATTTCTTACCGGCCAGTGCTCGCCATGCTCCGTGGGCTCTCACTTTGGATCCGCCCTCTCGCTCAGAAATCGAACGTGTGATCGGACTGTTGAAGTTAAATAAAGCCGCGGGACCAGATGACCTTCCCCCAGCCCTCTTCAAATTCGGGGGACGTGATCTTGTGGAGGATTTACACGAGTTAGTAATGAAACGGTGGGAACAGGAAACTATCCCAAACGTCTGGAGCTGCTCCGTCATAGTCATAGTTTCCAAGGGTCTCACGATCGGAATGCGGCAACCATCGACGTTACAGACGTCCACCGAAACGCACACGGAGGTCGGCGCAAACAAGTGAGTGGTCAGAGTCTACGCTCGTGTTCAAAATCAAGCAATAGTTTTCGACACAGCCTCACCAGCGTTAAGTGATTGCAAAATGATAGATTTACGTCCGTGGCTGGTGCGAAACTGGTGGACGCCAAGTCATTCTACTGCGGGGTCTTGTCGAAAGTTAGTGCTCGCGAGAAAGTGACGAGCATCTTTACACAGCTGTAGCAATCGCTCACCGTTATCATTACGGGAGCCTACACCATGTTGGCCGCTCAGTTGAAGCTCATCAGAGGACGATTTTCCGACTTGAGCGCTTAGATCGCAAGCCAACACCGCAGTATCCATGCTTCTTCTGTAATGAAGGAGATCGTGAAGTTGCTGATAAAAGTCATCATTCATCTGATCAGTGCTACAGTTTGTGGGGGTGTAGGTCGTAATGACAAGCAGGCACCGTTTGTTCCCGCACTTCGTAGCATGGAACAAACATGGAACAATCTAACGGCGCACATCCGACTGATAACTGGGACCCAATCCATCCGGGCAGCTTCAGTTCGGGGACTCAAAACAATGCTGAGGTCAGATTGACCGGCGTTTGAAGCTGCATCATCGCCAGAAAGGCGCAATGAGAATGTGCCGTCAGTGTCGCAAGTCGGGAATCGCAGCGTAAGCAGGCAGCTCGAATGTTGCAGGCGGGTTTCTGATGAACAGCAAATATCGAGCGATAGGGTATCTAGTGTGTTGGTAAGTGCTGCCTGTTGGCCAATCTGTAGTAAAGTGCGCACGTTAAGGCATGTCAGTCTTAGCAAGACTCGAGGACTCCAAAGGGAAACGGATGAACTGAGGTTGTCCGCCTGGTTGAACATGGACTTGTCGACTGGATTGGAACGACGCCCTGCCGCTCTGCGCGACGTGAAACTAGAAGACAAGCGACTATTAAAGAAAGCTGGGGGAGGGCCAAGAATTGGAGAATTGAAAATGAAGGATAAAAGTAAAGTTGAAGTGGGACGAAAAGGATGGAAAAGCGCAAGGAGGATAAGAAGACAGGACGGTCTGAGCAGTAGCATAAAACCCCTATCCACCCTGCTCGATGTAGCAGAGAGGGCGCTCTTGATTGTCCTCTGCGACTGCTAGAGCAACAAGAAACTGTTCGGATAAAGATTCAGTGTATTATAGGTCATCGGCATCGGTCGTGTGGGCATGTGGCCTATGAAAACGTCCTCTTCGACCCATACCTCCTGAGCATGGCCAGTTTGTCTCCGCAGCTGAGGATGCTGCCAGCTCGTTTTTTTTCCGGCCTGTAGCCTTAAAGATCAAAAACCTGTCTTGTAATCTGACGGCGCAGGTTCGAGCCCGCGTAGGCACCGGGCGATCCTCGCAGTATCCTTAACCCACGTGTGACCGGTGGCGGTTGCGCGACAGCCAAGCACATATCAAATAATGCGACCACTCTAGACAGGTTATTCCGGGTAGATTGAAACGCCGCAACATCGTCGAAAAGCAAGACGAGATAATTTGCATAATCAAGATCAACTAAGCTTTCACCAGAAAGGAGCTCCACGCCAACATAATGAGATTCCGCAAGGGAGCACACATGACAGAGTCCACTAAGAAAGTGAAAGAAAACGGGGAAATCGGACAACCATGAGGAACATCACTTGTGGTCGGAAACCTATTCGACAGGCTACCGTAGACGCTGACGCGGCCTGTCGTGTCCGAGTACAGAGCACGCAGCATGTTCACAGATTTCGTGGAAACACCTTTTCGCGCAAGTATTTCGAATAGAAAGCACTGGTCGACCGAATCGAACGCACACTTGAAATCGGGGAACACAGCTATTGTTGATCTGCGGTATGCGTGGCGCTGCTCTAGCACCTGCTGTAAAGTGAATAACTGGGCTATACAGTCAAGTTCTGGATACAAATCTGCATGCTCTTCCCTAATCCGAAATTCCCGTTCCACAATGAGGTGACGAAAGAGAATCCAGACCAGGACTTTTGTCACAACTGGCGTTAGGGTAATACCACTGTGGTTAGCAAAGTTCGTGTGACTGCGCTTCTTTTATATGACCACTATAATCGCTTCACTCCAGTTAGCCGGGACACCTTCCAGATAGGTTCGCATAAGGAGGTCAGTGTTTTGCGGAGGATCTCACCTCCAACCTTAAATAGTGCAGGTGGAAGGGAATCCGGACCAGCGGTACGAAAACGGTCGAGGACCGTGGTGGATTTTCGGACCTACACCTCCGATGGAGCCAGTAAATTAAGCGTCTATGGATTGTCTTATATCACTTGAGTAGGAAGCGGTATGGGAGAAGGGTGACAGCTGAACTGATCTTGAAAGTGTTCTGCCTAACGAGCCGTATCGCGCTCCTTAGTGTGTGTCAGTTCACCCGCGCTGTCACTGCTTGTCTCACTGATGCCTGGTTTTCTGGGACCGGTGGTGCGGATTAGTTGGAAAAGTTTGCGGTAATTGCCTACTGCTCCTGCCTCCTCTACTTCTTGAGCCCGACTGTTCCACCAGGCTTCCTTGTCAGCACGTAGGATCCGCTTCAGTTCGAGCCTAATAGTCCGCCTGATCACATTGTGCTCAGAGCCAGCCGGGAGGTTTCTTCTAGATTCCAACAAGTTCACCGACCTCTCGGATATTCAATGAGTGGTGCGGTGACGATTGACAGTGCCACAAGCAGAAGCTCCTGCGTCGTGCATGGCGGCAGAGATCCTATTCCACCGAAGCTTATTGGCATTTGGACAAGACTGCGAAAATTCGGTACGCAGTGCGTCTTGATAGACTTGCCTGATCGACGGCTGAGAAAATTTCTCAGTTGCCAATCGGAGGGGACGCTTGGTGCGCCTACCGGTAAAGTTCATGAAAAAACGACAGCGCACGCAGGCATGATCAGAGTCGACACAGGTACTCCAGTATGAGCGGCAATCCAGAATGGAATCACCCCACCTGTAACTTATAGCATCGTAATCAAATTGAGTCCATCGCTGGCCAGCTACCAGAGGACGCCAAGTGTCACTTCGACGACCACTGTGTCTAAAAGCAGTGCTACTAAGAAACAACTAGTGTTCTGCACACAGTTGCAGCAGACGCTCGCTGTTGTCAATCCGTTCGGAGTTAAACCCTTAATTATCACCCAGCTGAGCTTCCGAAGAGCTCAGACGCCCTACTTGCGCGTTCATATCCTCCGCAAGTACTATAATGTCTGAACTAGTAGCACTGCGTAGTAGCGCATTCAGTGCGTGATAGAATGTGTCCTTGACTGCATTAGAACTGCAGACGGTGGGAGCATAAGCGAAAATCCAAAACAAACAGCGTCTTTTACTACTTCGTGAATGAACCTTAGCTGATGTCGTCAAACGAACTGCACATAAATGGCTGTTAACCGGAATCCAATCAACCAACGATGACTCAGCCTTGTAGCTTAGAATGATAACTACACCAGCTTGACCAGTGAGCGTCTCCGGATGCGTGCAACCAATAACGAGAGGATAAGCCGAGTGTATTTAATTCAACAACCCCATTAGGGTCATTGATTTTATTTTTGGACACAACACACGTTAATCCCCGGTGTGTTCAAGGTGCGTGTGAGTGCAGCCTATTGACCTATTTGTCTCAGAGTGCGAACGTTGAACGCCTTCAGGAAAATGGAACCGCGTGGTTTTATAAGGGACTGTTGGCGATAGGTGTCGGATGGATGTTGTGAGATGGTGGCTGCAGATGGTTCCACTCCAGTGGCACTTCGGTTGCCGTCAATTAAGCTGGGAATTATAGAAGGAAGGTCAGTAATGGGGGGTGGGATAAGAGCAAGAGAAACGGATGGAAAAGAAAAAAGGGAGGTGCCAGCAGTAGCATGTTTTCGCTTATGAGCCCTGCTGTATGCAGCAGATAAGGCGAGCCTTGATGCGGGATAAAGTTTATGTTTGAAGGAAAAGTCATGGTTACATGTGGGCTGAAATACTGTCAGGGCGCCCAGACCTCGACAGTAGGACGATAAGGGTTCTCATCCAAAGGCTTTGGCTCAAAAGCCTGTCCGCAAGGCAGTGGGGAGGTAGCACTGATTAAATTTTACAGAAATGGACGACATCCCATTTCAAACCCCCCTCACCCCAGCATAAAACTTCAGATATTGAAATTTGTCGAGAGCAAAAACACGAGTTAGTGAAAATTGAAAAGTGCACGACTGAGTCAGTTCAGTAACCGTGGTATCTGTTACGGCGATGGGTTTTCGAGGAATATGAACGAAAAGCAACGACGTTTCAGTTTGAGACGAGAATAGCATGGCTGAAGAGAAGCAGGGAAATAAAGATCACAGAGCAGCAATTCGAGATGATTGATCTAAGCATACCATGCTGAATATCAGGTCAAAAAGGAAAAACATGAGTAAAACGAAGGTTGCTCACAATTAAGAATACAGAACAGCAAAAGGATCAAGTCTAATAAGTCGGCGAAGTGAAAATTGTGTGCATAAAATAGCGGATTATTGACAATTAGGCGAAAATGTTACAGAGAACAACCCAAAGGGACTGACCATGCAAGCTCCCGGCCAATACGACGGTCAGACAACCATTATCTTCTCCCTTAACAATGGATATATCGTCCTTGTCATATTCTACAAACACTGATCCTGTATGAAGAATCTATAGAGCTGACTAGGAGCCGGTTAGACAGATGACTAACGGATCCACGAAAAGTCAGAAGAAACAAGTCGGAAACTGACTCCATCGAAGTGAACTGCATAGGACAAAGTTGCTGAGTGCAACCAAGACGGAAGACATTGTTCAGTGGTGTAACTTCGCCGCTTGTACCGTAAATGATGCCGCTGTAACTTTTAGTTGCTAGAGAGTGTTCGGACTCGTCGGGCTTTTCGAAATGTAATTCTAAAATTACCGACGCTGTGAATAAGAAAGCTTACTTTTATGAAGTAGAAGTTTAAAAGGACCAAAAGAATCATCCTGTTCGGCCAGAAATACCACACCATTCCGCTGCACTCCGTTCATGAGCTCTTCTTCAAATAGATAAAGACGGCCGTTAAGCACTGCACAAAGTGATGGGTTGCGCGACGCTGTTCGTAATCAGTTCAATAAAGAAGTGTGCTGATGACGCATACAATCCGGTGGCACTTTAAATCCGATTGATACTAATGCATAGTAAACGGCGTCCGTGACAGAGAAAGAGCTTTGTAGTATTTTGTAATGTTTGTGACAAAAATTCTGCAATAGAAGACACGGTGATTGGGAAAGGAACAGTATACGGCAAGCAGGAGTTACTATACCATGTATCTGAGTGATAGCGAAGATTGACAACACCAGTACAGCTTAAATAAGACGACAAGACACGAAAACCAATAAGTGGTGAACGTTGGGGCTTAAACTTTCAAGGCAAAACGAATGATGGACCGACTAGATCGGGGACCGAACAGCAACAAACGGATTTCCGACTGACTAGAGCACACAATCCAAACCGTCTAGCGATTCTACATAACTGACGAAGAGCGCTGAGTCAGGCTATCGAAGGTGTGAAGTACGATAGGTCATTGACCACAAAATGACATCAATGAGCCTGCGATGAATGGACAGATACGCCAGTTGTTAAAAATATTCGGTGTGAGAATGGAGACAGAAAGAGTACAGTGAAGAAAATGAGCATAAGTGTTCTACAACAAACCAATTTCTGTTAAACGAGGCGCAAGAAAACGTATGGCGGATACGTCAGATTCGGAATAGAGTCCAACCTGCTGTGGTGACAACCTATCTATGGCGATCACGTTTTGTCGGCCCTTGAGTAGCCGCCTTACACAGGTTCGACTGTCCTAAGATAAAAGTCAAAAACAAATGGCAGAGCAGCAGTGAAAAAGACAAAGTGTTCAGTCTAGATCAGTCTCTTAACTACGATCCGCGCACCGAAGTATAGTGAAGCTAATTGCCATGATACGTGTCTCAAACTCCAACGGCCATAGAAAGTGAAAACGGGAGGGCGAATCAACTTGTTGCTGCTAATCAGAAAGAGTAGATTAATTTCTAAACCGTATAAGTGGACGACGAAATCGAAAACCGTGTCACTGAAAAATGACGAGTGACAATTTACCGAGTTCCGAAAAAGTCAAGCCAAATCGAGTGAAAGTAGGCTTTAAGTAGGCGAAGAGATTGTCAGCATGTTACACGAACACTGCGAATGGAGTATATGAAATTAGTGTTACAGAAAAAAATAAAACGTCTAAAAAATGTCTTCACATGCGACTTGAGAAAATAGTTTTGCATCATAGTGGTAGTTTCGGTTGGGTAAACAAGTAACCTGGGTAAGTATGGTAGAAATGCGACAAGATGTGGTACGAGAAAATGGAACCTTAAATTTGAAACGGGTAGAGAAAACAGCTACTGTTTTTGATAGGCCAAAACGTGGTAGATGAAGAGCGCCGTTTAGAATCTTGAAGGAATTACTGGTACAAGTGTCCACCTGCTTCTAACAACAAAATCCACTCTCTAGACAATCCAGTGCAAGTGCAAAAGGCTTTATGGATCGTGTAACCAATATGTGTAGCCTTTTCTGAGTAATCCAATAAAGATTAAAGGAGGAGCAGTAGAGCTCAAACGGCAGAATGCTTGTAGTCACAAATCAAAAAACCAAGTCACGGGGTACGGAAAGTACTCTGAGTTGAAGGGCGTTGAAATGACAACCGGATAACCTTACAAACCATTTCGGCAGAGTGAAAAGACCATGATAAACGTCGGGATAAAAAGATACCGAGATATTTAATACGTGATGATCTGGGTACAAGCTGGTCACTCACTGCCAATGGAGAAGTGGAGTCCAAAAAAAACTTGTAGCTTGTCAGCTCGGAGAAATGAGAATGTTAAGTCACGATATATAGAACTGTTCGAAATCAGGGATCCATTTTGTAAAGAGTATTATATCTCGACGGTCAGAGTAACGCATTCCAAAACGACAACCTCAGCATACTTGCATCAAATAAAGTTAGATGATATGCGGAGCCTTTCAATGTATAAAGAAATAAAGCAGGTGAGAGAATGGTTTCTTGTAAAACATCACGACCAGAAAGAACCGTAAAAGGCTTCGCTGCATTAATCTGGGTGAATCGAGTGCGATTTGTGAAGTAGTCTCTAACTAGGTTGCAAACATGTGTTGGAACACCATTTGCAAACGGCTGGTTGAGGAGGTTTTACCTGTTCGCTAAGTATACAAGCATTGTTGTAGTCGGTATGCCCATGGGTCCCGTCCGCTTGTATTAAAGCCGGTATAGACGAGTTTGTACCGCTGCGTCTCTTTACGTAAGCAAAGAATTTTGGATTTGTTACGGCTGTTAGCCAAATCCTCCTCGTACTGAAGACGAAGAATCCTAAGAGGTTGCTTACATTTACTTCTAACCGCTAGATAGCTTTCGTAGATGCTGGTTGATGAAGCCGCTTGGTAAGTTCGCCAGCACTTAGAGCGCTTCCTGATCGGGTATTTACCTGTAGGATCTAGTTAAGGAGGATGCGCCCGTGTCACACGTCTCTTGATGAAGGGGATGTGAAGAGCAGAGATCTCGGTGAAGTATGCCTTAAATTTCTCCAAGGCTGTCTCAACGGTGTCACCCACAATGATCGCGCAACGCAGAACTGAAGCTTTGTCACGCATTGCGTTAAAGTCTGCCCGCCAAATATTTGGACATGCCTCAGCGGTAGCTTGATGACACTTAGTTACAGCCGATCGAAAGGATATGCAGGTTGATATGCGGCAGTTGCGACTCTCGAACATAAACCCCAGCATATTGTCCTCCGAGCAAACAAGCTTTTCCGTAATCTGTGACAGCAGCAATGCCGTCAGGGCCAAACAACAGTGGGATACACGAATTCATGTTGCTCCGCCTTTTGACATACGCGAAGAAGCGTTTCGGATTTCATGAGGCTATACCAGCAAGCTCTACTTCATGCTGTAGTCGAGCACCTCCTAGATGCTGCCTGCTGGCATTTCGAGCTTCATGGTAGCGCTTGAACGTGCGTGATTATGGAGCAGATAAGTAAGTACGCCAACATCTGGCTTGTCTGTTAAGTTGTTCGCGTACAAAAGAATCAAACCAGGGTGGTTTTGGCTTAGTTTTATTCCTGCCAGATAGAGGTATATGGAGAGAGAGAGAGAGAGAGAGATCACTCGAGTATGATTTAAATCTGTCCCAGGCCGTTTGAATGTCGTCACTTTCCAAAATGACACAAGGCGACTTTGCGGCCTCGGCTTTCATTGTCTGAAAGTCTGTGCGTCGTATGTTTGGAACTCGGTCGGAACGATCATTAGTCTGAGGACTAGGGGCGCACTTAAATGAGATATGCGTGGTCGCTAGCACCGAGAGGTGGGTTGTATACAATATCCGTGACAAAATCAATGGGTTTAGCGAAGATTAAGTCTAAGAGGAACGGGTCTTGATCCATCATTAATCTAGTGGGCCTATCGACAAATTGGTGCAGGGGAGCATGCAAGGTCAGTTGGAGAAGATCGGTAGCCAAACATCTTATAACAGCGTACAGGAAAAATTCTGTCAGTCAACGTCGGGAAGAGTAAAACCCCCATCACTAAACACATGTCTGCCGAATGTTCACGGATGAAATCAACGAGACCATAGCAACGCTGTCCGGGCTTCTACAGACCAGCACAACTTTAAGTTGCGCGGAGGCAATACACAGGTTAACTGCGAGTGCCTAAACATCACCGTCTGGTGATCGGAAACTATACGTCTTGAAGACAGCAAGTGCTGAGTTAACGTACAAAGCAACGCCACCTCCGCGCCGATCAGAGGTGCGGTCACACCTAAGCAGTGCATAGCTTGGCAAGCACACTTCGTTGTCCGTGACGTCGGTGGACAACTACGTTTCAGTGAATGCGAGAACATCTGGACGGTAGTCGCTCACAAGGGCGCCAACTTCGCACAGCTTGTTTCGCAGGCTACGCACCTGAAGGGATTTAGCATGGTGAGTCCGGGATCGTGTGACTCAAAACCCGGCTCTGGTAGGGCGGAATTGGACCGCCGGCTCACCGCCCAAAAACCCATCAAGCGGAGACCCTTTTCTCCTGCTTCACGGCGGGCTCTAAGCTCTATCACAGCTTCCCGCAATTTTAGCTAATCCGCCAAAGGAGGGTCTGGGTGGACAATGACACCAGCGCCCTTGAGCTTGAAGGCGAAACGCAGAAGTACTTGGCGCTCCTCCGGAGTGGACAGAACAACTCGCAACAAGCGAGAGCGAGACTTATCGGTTGGCAAGTTACCGAGTCTGGTTAGTTTGCGCAGTCACGCTGCGGAAGCCGGGCGGCAGGAGTTTGGTAACGCATATTCTAAACCACTGAAGGTCATCTAGCATACGGTCTTTTGGGAGAAGAGATGACTCAGGGACGTTTCTGAAAATAACACTGCAGTCGGTATAAGTGTCTCCGCGACGCGTAGTATTTACCAAACGCTCCGTGAACGCCGGTGGTTTCAGTTTAGCGTCCATTTTTATAGATTCTAAAGTCGTAGATAATTCTAGCTGTAACGATTCCGTAGTAGTAGAATTTGAGGGGTGGGGATAGCACATCCGACGGACCTCTCAGGTCTGCCCTGGGTTTTGCCACTTTGTTAACCCTATTTCGCTTTCCTTTGACAAGGGCAGAAGCCTGCTGCTCTCCCTCGTTAACAGCCGAATCAAACACGCTATCTGAGGGTACGTTACTAATAGGGTCGTTGCTAACAGGTATACTGACATTTAACGGTGAACAAACAGATGCGGGGTCCGACAACTTGCCAGTGTCTTCTACTGTCGCCTGACAGAGAAGACGTGAGCGTTCTAGGCCCTTCACAATCCATTCAGCTTTCCTGTCTGGCGAGACAACCAGAGACAGTAAACTTTTCAGAGAAACAGAACTGCTCTTCACTAGCGTGTAACGCTCAGTCCTGAGAACACAAAAGTCACTACAAGGGCAGAGTAAACTCTCGTTACTGGACAGAAGAGTATACTGTCTAGGATCCAAGCCAGGACAGGTCTTATGGAACCAACAGTTACAGATATCACATTGCATGCCCCCGGACGAATCTGTAACGGCTTCTAGACACCCCGCTTTGCCACACATGACCAAAGAGTGGGCGGAAAGAGAACATGACGAGTTTAAACAGCGCTTGACAACCATCGCGACGGAGAGGGTTCATAGAAAGAAGTGAATGTAATAGATAAGCAGCAAAGATGTGAACCGGTT